GTGTGTGTGTGTGTGTGTGTGTGTGTGTGTGTGTGTGTGTGTGTGTGATGAGAATCATGCCTCACCCCAGAATCAGAGTATCTCCTTTTTTTAACTAACTGGATGAGGAAAAACAAGCCATATGCTTGCTTGTTAAATCTTATGTAAAATAGGGGCTTAGCCCTTTGTAGTGTTCACTTTTCTGGAACTAAAAGAAACTCAGCCTTTCCTCTACTTATAGCTTAAATTGTAGAAAATAACCAAGTCAATGAGCTCAGAAACTGAGTCCTTCCAGAGGAGGCCAGCAGTCCTGAAGGATGTGTCAGCACCCCTTCACCATAGGCTCCCTCAGACCCGGCATTCTGTGAGTGCACCTGGCTCCTCCTTATTTACCACAAACCTTGAAGTCAGCCAACATAGTACTCCCCCATGTGGCTGAGGTTGGTAGCTAAGAAAGCACATCCTTCCCCTGAAAGTCGAACAGGACTAATAGAGGCAAGCACTCTACATACAATGAGGACAAGACTGTGAGTACCTCAGCTGAACAATGACTAAATGGCAAGAGTAAGTTCTAAAATCCCTGCTCACATTCACTTATTTAGCCCTCATATCAGTCACTGGAAGCTGATGCTCATATACCCCTAAGTGACTGAAGGGGCATTAGGAAGAATATCTCAATAAAAAGACAGAAGAGACAAACTGCCTGCAATAGGCTGCCTCAAAACTGTCCTTAAAAAAGCACTTGCCAGCTGAGTGTCTTAAAGCATGTATGTAAAATCCTTAAAGGTAGATAGTTTGAAGTAAACAGCAATCTAGACCACACAGACCTCACGAAGCATCCTCTGTAAGAGCCCTCAGAGATAGGGGACTCACTGATTCCCTTCCAAAGTCAATGAGTCCCTGAGGCCTGAAAGTGATGTCTAACTCAAAGATGAAGGGATCTTTACTTTGAGGGATAGCAAAAAAGTCAATAAATCAATCTTGATGACTTAGTCGTGTGCTTCTTTAACAGAATACTCGAGACTGGGTTAATCACAATGGACAAAGATTTCTTTAGTGTAGTCTGAACTCTGTGAAGTTCAAGGTCATCATCAGGCCACGGCCTTTTTGCTGTATCATCCTGTGGCAGAGTTGGGAAGCACAAGAAAGTATGTACATGGGGGAGCACGCTCATTTTATTAACAAACTCACTCTTACAGCAGCAACATTAATAATTAATTACATCTAAAAAGTCCATCTCTCAACACTACTGACTAACAGGGACTGGGTTTCTAAGACGTGAATGTCAAGCGGTTCATTTAAAACCTGGCAGATGCCTTGGGTGACTCTTTCTTAGCATCTCATGACTACAACTATGACTACTTCCTGTATGAGAGATGTTGAATTGCCCTTTGCTAGGAAGTCTGTACCCAGCCTCCATCCACACAGAAAGGACTGTACTGTTGAGAGTCTCTGACAGAAAGGCCTGTGAAGTTTGCTTTCTACCTATCCCTGCTGTGTAAATCAGGAGTGGCTGGTGTGTCTCTCCTAAGTCTTACCCACTACATAAATAATGATTTTCTTGATTACATTCCTTGGATGTTTTAGGAAAAATGACAAATTAACTGAGTCAATCTAATGACCTCCAAGGGAAAGGGTCTGTGAAAAGAAAAAAAAATCAGAGTAAATATGAGGTTATAAGAGATGTAGAAACACTCTAAAGGCAAAAGCCTAATCCCATCAGCACCAAAGGCAGGTGATGGGGAGTCCTTTCTCCCCTATAATGATAAAAAGTTCTTCCCCTTGGTAAGGAAGAGCTGATGGGGGTCAACACAACAGAAAGGCTTTGGGTTTTTTTCCTCTCTGTCTCTCTCAGTTCAGCAGGGCCCAGCCATGCAACAGGTGGATCACAGACATTGGACAGCACCTGTAAACACAGGTCTGCCTGGTTGGTCCCCAGTGTACTCCTACAACAAAGCACAGATGACTGGAGACATAGAATCTATTACAGACAAGTCACCACAGCCAGCTTGAATCTCTGGGAGGGACCAGGGTAGATTATTGGAACTGTCCCCCTGGAGATCTTGAAGGATATCCATAAGAGAAGACTCTGTAATTGCAACACAAGAAAGGGTAACTAGGTGACACCTTGAATAAATGAGGGAACAAAGATTCTGAGCCAAGGTGAGAGATGAAGGCAAATTCCCAGGAAGAACATCCTCAGATGGAACTGGGGTGTTTTTCAGTGCTTGAAGTGAGGCCATGTCTTGATGATGTTGTATAATGCCTGTCCAGGGGACAGGGTGTTGGACACATCACTGTGGCCCATTAGCAGGTAGTTGGAGGTCAGGTACCCTTTGGCCACAGCACACTGGATCAGGCTCTGGGCTGCCTCCAGTGAAGCTTCATTTGGAGGCTTTTCTGTAAAACACATTTAGCCATGATTGTTAAGATCTCAAAGCTACTTGGCTATAGCAATGGCAAGTACCTAGATTCCTCTCTTTCCATCTCTCATTCTACCCTTTTCCACAACCACCATAGCCAAAAACTAATTAGGCACAAAACAAAGCCCAAACAACTGTTTTTTTTATTCTATCTGATCAAAATTTCTTTGGAAAGTTAAAATTTGCCCTGGAATAGAACATAAAACATGACACAAATTCTCAGTGTGTACAGAAGAATTATAGATTGTTCTGTGCTATGTCATCACAGGCAATGACACATTCCCCACATTATTGCTATTATTGTTAGTAATGAAGGACACACATTTCACAAATGAAACATCAAAATTTCAAAAGCCCTCCTCCTTTTTTCTCTGTTGTTCCATGCTTGCCTTGGATATAGACATAAGGTAAAATGGAATTTTGGGTGGATGTGAATGAATTGGGAGTAGATACTTTATTTGGGATATGCTCCTAGTAGCAGTCATTCTTTATTAAGAATTTTCTTTAAATCTAAAATAGTCTGCTGAACTACCATGTACTTCCACTGTTACAATACTGTCTCCATTTTCCCTGTGTTTCCTGAGTATTCCACATGGTATTTCATTAGGCAGAACTCTCTGCTCCATTATGCCTTACCTACAAAGTTTCCTATGAAGGCAATTCCTAGAGCAATATCGTTGTATCCATAGGTGTGAGAGCCTTCGATATTCCAGCCAACTCCTTCATATACTCCACCATCTTGGCCCACTAGAAAGCTAGGGTTGAGTAAGGAAAACAAAGAAGTCAGTGTGAGGAGTATAATTTGCTTCAGCCACTCTAATCCTTTATGCATTCTTTCATCCACTTATCACACATTGTCCAGATATGCCATATGTGCCAGTGTGCAGAAATGAAGAAATCAAAAGCTAAACCATAGCGCTGTACTTTGCCTGCATCTCCAGTACTGAATCTAACTCAGCCAAAATGACTGTAGAGCTCCTCAACCTTCTGAGCAATGGACATTTTGACCACTGATTACTTTGGTCCTGAAGTGTTCTCCTCCACAGTTTTCCACAGACAATGCCCTCCTCTGTCTCTCTCCTTTGCAGTTCTCTTTCTCAGGTGACTGCCATCTCATCTGCCTTCTCTGAACTACCACACTTCTTACAACCCTACACTTGCTTCTTAGGACCCTGCTCTAGCTGCTCTCTTTCCACTGAGCACATTCGCCCAGGTTAAACAATCATCTACTCTCACAGCTTCAACTATTTTCTGTAAATTCCATTGGGTATAGAAAAAACTCTTTTTACATTTTCTGTAGTCATAAAATGAGGCATCATCTTAATTTCCCTCCTTTTCCCTCTCAGAGCCCCAGTTAAGGACTACCCATCACCCATCAATTATGTCTCTTACATTACTTTTACATTTTTCTACTCCTTCCATCCAATAGACACTGTCCAACTCCACCTTGATTACTGTAACAGCACCCTGCCCAGGGTTTTGCTTCCTTCCAGTTGACTCTTAAAATCATACCCAGGAGGCAGGAGAGATGGCTCCACAATTGAGAACACTTGATGCTCTTTCACTGTACATGAGTTTGGTTCCCAGCATCCACATAGCAGCTTACAACCATTTGTAACTCCAGTTACAGAGGATCCAACATCCTCTTCTGATCTCTCCAGGCACGAGGTATGTTTGTGGTACACATATACATATGCAGGCAAAACACTCACACACATAAAATAACATAAACAAATCTTTTTAAAAAAACTTTTAAAAGGGTATGGCTTTCCACAGTCTCTAGTCCCCCTTTATAAAAAGTCAGTCTTCAACGACCGGGGGACTGGAGCCATTACAAGGTCCCCTTCAATTACTGGAGGTCAGGCCTCTATCCCTGCCTTCGCAAGATTAGAATTGCCACAGCCCTTCTATACATAGAGAAGGGAGGAGATGTCAGGGGCATCCCTGCTTATATACTGAAGGCCTAAAATCAGCAATAGGCCTGTCATACATGTATACTTGCACCAAGTCTTGGGTCTCTGTGAAAAAAACATTGAAACAGATGGCTATAAGCTATTGTAAACAGGCAGCTTTTGTGGAAATTTACCAGATTGAGTAGTCATAGACCTTGTAAATAGGTAGCTTTGGCAGATAATACCAACTTAGATAAGGACAAGTGAACCATAGGCAGAGTCATAGTGACCTGTCCCCTGAACCTTCACTCAGCGGATACCCTGTTCTGAAAGATATCTGTATTCCCCCTGAACACCCACACTCTGGTGTCATCCCCTTCCCCATGTCCTGCCTTTTTGTGTTTATAACCCCTGTGTGAATAAGTAAAAATTACGATTTGAAAAAAATAAATAAATTATAAAAAAATAAAAATAAAAAATAAAAAATAAAAAAGTAAATAAATAAAAAAAGAAAAAAAAGTCAGTCTTCATTAGTTTTACTTAAAAAATCTACATTACAGTCAGGCTCCTGCAGCCCCCACCCTCACCACCCTTCTCTTGTAAATCCATTTTTAGGTTTGAGTGGGCTGTGTTTTCTTTCCTCAAGGGCTCATGCTCTGTTCATATCTGAAGCTTTTGAATGTGTTGTTCTTTAACTATAGCATTTCCTTTTGTCAAGCACCCCCCACACACACACCTTATTCATGTGCCCTTAAGGATAGTCCTCTTCATTAGATCTTCTCTGATACCTATCATCCCTCCAAAGATTTCTGGGCGCATCTTATCTGTGCCCAGATCTTCTTCCATTACTGTCCTTAACATTTTGCATTGTTATTGCTTATCGGGTATTGTTTCTCTAACTCTACAGTTCAATTCCAGGTTTAAAAGTTGAGGAACAAGAATCAACTCAGCTGGTGTTTGCCAATTTGTAATATCCAAATTTGTAGTCAGTTCCCTATTATCTGCTGTGACTTTAGCCAAGACTATGAAAAGTCCTGAAAAAATGAAGCAGGTTCTCTCTTTCATGCTAAGAGGTCACGTCAGATACAGCTAGAGCATTGGTGGCACACTGCAGAAGCAAACCCATCCAAAACTAGCCACAGAATTGATTGTTTAAATCCCTAATAAATAACTGAAGTTTATTGTTTTCTAACCCCAAGTCCCACCTATGAAAAGCACAAGGATCCTCTACATATCTTATGCTATTTAATTAAACTAAAATATTTCTTGAAGATAATTCTGACATGAAAGTAACTAGAAGAGAACATTGTATCTCACTCCCTGTCTTCAAACAGAAAATGTTGTCCCTACTATAGAGATGAAACAAAAGAGCCCCGAGAGGTTAAAATCCCTGTATGGTGAGTAGCAAAAGAATAACAAGATTTTAATATCAGAGAGAACAAGCTGGAGCTAGCTAGGACCTTCTTCCCTTATCATTTAGAACAGAGTATTTAAGAAGGCATACCCCTTCCTTGGGGTTCATAGTTTTGCTTTCTCATTGCTTCTTATTCATTATTTAATTATTGTTATATTCCCAATCACAATAGAGAACATGCCTGAGCAGTTAAGTAGTCCAAACTATGTCCTGAATTCTACTCAGTCTATTTTCTTATCAGAATAACGTATGACATCTGTATAAAGCACCTGAGCTTCACCAGGTTTGCTCTCCATGGCTCTGAAGAAATAGGTCATTTTCCACTTACTGATATGCAATGTCACAGAAATCTTGCTTGTCTATGTGAAAGGACTGTGTGTCTCTCACACGAACCAAACAGTCTGCAGTCTCATTGCAGCTTTCCTCAGCAGTGTGGATGATGATGACAAATTTGGCTGGAAGGTTCATCTGAGGGCAGTGTGTCTCTCTGGCTTCCCAAGCAGACCGTGGTGTGATACTGGGGCAGGCTGCAGCAAAGTGAAAAACCAAGAGGATGAGAATTTGCTTTGGACTGTTAGGAAAACAAGTGTCTTGTGTCCTGCAAATATGAACAATTTCTAATGTGAACTTCCAGCAAGAGTCTGGAAAGGGCAGCTGCCTGAATCAGTGAGGTTTAATGGCACAAAAACCAATATGAAAGCTTAAAGGAACAGACTGATTAAACAGAAGCACAACTGTATTCTTCAAAACACAGAATAGATATATGCTTATATGTGTGCCACATTATAAGGTAGATATGTGTAAATCAGCTTCCTCTTTAAACTGATCAAGTTTATGTGAAAAGGTATGAATTGTACAAAGAACTCACAATGTTACAGAATTATCATTATTGAAGAGAACACCAACCCAAAGGCAAAAACATTTTTTGTAGAGCTTTATAATTGTAAAAAATGAAATTTAAAATATCACTTGTTCAGAGAACAAGGCTGTGTTAGCAGAGATCTAGCATACTGGAAGTGATTATTAATTTTATTGGTTTTAATTTACTGATCATTCTTTCCAAACTAGGACACCATTTTCGTTATTCATTAGAATACTATTATAATGCCAGTAGTAGCTGTAAATTCCAATTTTCTCAACACCATGGCCATGGAAAAGGTTGGCTTTGGAAAGGTAAGAGTGTGTGTGTGTGTGTGTGTGTGTGTGTGTGTGTGTGTGTGTGTGTG